ATGGGTAAAGCAAGTTTACAATCAGAACAGAAAAAAACGTAGGTGTCATGGGCCACAAGTGTTTCCTTTCTACCCAACAACCATAAAGTGGATTTGAGTCTTGATTTTAAAAATCAGTAGAAATTAAAAACCACCAAGCAAAAAAGAACAACAAAAATTGTTGTGGTCCTGAAGAAGAATACAGTTCATTTCATACACGTATTTGTATATAGCAGCTTTTTCATAGGATTCATTTTCTTGCTGACCCTCAAGAAAATGGTTTTGGCCATATGAATGCCTCCAACACTGGAAAAATTTAGATAATCACCTGACATGTGTGCTTTGATTGTATTCCTGCATTGAGCAGGGGGTTGGACTTGACGGCCTTATAGGACCCTTCCAAATTTACTTTTCTGATTCTAAAGGAATACCACACAAAGATCAGAAAAGCATCACACAGCCTCTGCTTTCAGGAATGCCAGAGTCTCATTCCTTAAATATTGTTGTTTTAGAAGAATGAGAAATTTTCTTGGCTCAGGATGTGGGTTCCTGGTTATGAGGTCTGTTTCTGTAATCCGAAGTGCTTGGGGTTGTTGTGTCTTCTTCTTTGATGTTAGAGTTGGGATCCAATGAGAAGAAAAATCTGAGCTAGGCAAAAGTGGCTTTTTTAGCAGGTCATATTGGCCAGATTTGGATGTGGATGAAGAATCTGAATGTTGGGCCTTGTCACATGAAGTGTAAAATGGTTTGATTATTGTTGGCATAATTTGTTTATTGTTTAGTCGTTAAGTGTGTCCGACTCTTCGTGACCCCATGGACCAGAACACGCCAGGCCCTCCTGTCTTCCACTGCCTCCCGGAGTTTGGCCAAATTCATGTTGGTAGCTTCGATGACACTGTCCAACCATCTCATCCTCTGTCATCCTCCTTCTCCTCTTGCCTTCACACTTTCCCAACATCAGGGTCTTTTCCAGGGAGTCTTCTCTTCTCATGAGATTGTCAAAGTATTGGAGCCTCAGCTTCAGGATCTATCCTTCCAGTGAGCACTCAGGGTTGATTTCCTTCAGAATGGATAGGTTTGTTCTCCATGCAGTCCAGGCGACTCCAGCACCACAATTCAAAAGCATCAGTTCTTCAGCATTATATTGATGTTTTAATACTGGATATTGGTAATTGATCTGTGGGTATAGTTAAAGTTTGTTTATACTTTGTTGTATCTTTAAATGAACTATTAATTATTGAGCTATCAGTTATTGCTAGTATACGTTATGGCTTTTTACTTATTTCAGCTGTTTTGTTATTCTAACTTAATTGTGTGTCATGCAATCCATTTTGAGTGCAATGTCTCAGCAGGAGATAAGCTGTAGTAGAAATCTATGTTAGCAGGAGATATAGCACAGTAGAAACCTGCAGTTCCCAATTTAGCTCTTGAGGACTGATGGATCCTCAAGAGTTGGAAGGGTTTGTAGGGGAAAGCCCCACTACATAAGCAGTGTCCCACTTGTATGATGTTGGATGGGACCCAAAGTATTACTGGAGAATGTCATGCATAAATAAACATACTGTGTTTTATGGCAGAACGATGGCAAACCTCACTTTACAGTTTTTCAGTGGTATCTGTTGACGGTTCACTTGTAGTAACTGGACACTGATAGTTTCATTATCATGGCATGTACAGTAAGCATTTTAGACAGCCCTTTTCCCGCTATTCTAGCTGGTTTGTTTGCTTTAGGCCTGGGACTTTTGTTTCTTTTGGAATGCAATTCCTAGAATTTGCCAAGAATTCCCCAGGCAGAATATCTGGGAGCTGCAGTCTGGAAACAGCAGCTTAAACAGGAACTTTTCTCATCATGTAGCCTTCTGTTGCCATTCTACTGGAACTTCAAGAAGAAGGACACTGCTCTTATTGGTGCCTGAGTTTGGTGCAAGGGTTTATAGGAGCCTCAAGGGAATATGAAATGGATAGTACATTGACAGGCTCCCTCTATAGAGCCTTAGCAACGAGACTCCCATCCAATGTTCCTTTCATGGACCTTTGCACCACTCCTAGGCATCACTAGTTTTCTTCTTCTTGAAATGGTGATGGATTCCTAAATGGAGGTGAGAAAAGCTCCTCTTTCAACTACTGTTTTTTTGGCTTGTTGCTGCCAGGATTCTCTTTGGGGGAATTCCTGGTGAATTCTGGGACTTGCAATGCAAAAGAAACAAAAAGTCCCATGCTTAATTTGCTTTTAATATTTTTCAACTCATTAAAACAGAATAAGAATGGTTATACATAATTATAGCTGAGTGGAACAGTCAGGGATTGATATTCTGTCATAAGCATGCTACTAAGTCTACATTTTTTTAATAAACGGATTATCCTAGTATTACCTAGGTCTGCACTGTGGCCTTCATTGATGTTCAGTTTTGTATGTTGCTTGTACAGCCCCTATCTAAACTTGGGTTTAGTTTAATTATCCATTTGAGATCTTGTTTCCACTTAGACTTCTTGGTCAGAACAGGTCTACAAGAACTGTAAATACCTGCAGGAGTTTCTCCTCTAGAGTTTAGTTCCTGAACCAGAATTCTGGGGAAGGAATAACATGGGAGTATGAGTGCTGTGGGCACCTCACCCTGCAAGGTAAGGCTGCCAGTGCCCCAGCTCCACAAAGTCAACTCACATAATCTCCATAATACAGCCCAATAACCTAAATGACCAGTGGAGCAAAGGGCTCAAGAAATAAAGCCAAGCCATAAGGTGCAAGGGTAGGAACTTTCGCTCTAAAAGAACATCTGACATCTCTCTACAAATATAAAGTATGAGACTGCAATGCGCCAGGAAACAAGATAGGAAATAAATTGGTTCCACGGTGCACCCAGCCATAACATTACTGATAGGAAGAAATGAATCGGTAATATTAAAAGAAATGGGAACATTCACTCTGGTACATATAACACATGACTGTGATTCAGTAGAACAGAGGTATGGAATGTATAATTAGAACTGGGGAACATTCTCAGTCACTTGGACTGGAGCATCTAGGATGAAACCTCACTTCTAAATTGGGGATCTCCGTGTAATTGTTTTTCTTTAAGGTGATGATTAATACATAGCAAAAAGCGTGCTGCTTATATACTGCCCCATAGGGCTTGAAGCACTCTCTGGGTGGTTTCCAAGTTAATTATGCAGGCTACACATTGTTCCACCCCCCGCACACACACACAAGAAGGGTACTCATTTTACCGACCTCGGAAAGATAGAAGACTGAGTTAACCTTGAGCCGGCTACCTGGGACTGAACCCCAGGTCGTGAGCACAGTTTTGGCTACAGTACAGCGGTTTAACCACTGCACCACAAGGCTCTTAACAGACACATGTAAACAAACAAACAAACAAAATGGGTAGCACATTTTCTCCTTGCAAAGCCAGTTAACTTTTCTGTGTGTGATTCACTTTCATTTACCTGATGCTTTGTCTCTGGGTCTAGGACACCTTTGTCAATGGCCTTTCCTCACACTTGGTGAACTCATTCTCACACGTGATAATAGCTTCCTCTCATAGTTTGATGGTATTTTCTGCATCCTAGATATGAATAAGAATGATCTTGATTCTTGCTATTTTAATACAGACTAGTTACCAGTTAGGGATTAAAAACAACACACATTTACATACTGGATCAAACCAAATGTCTATAAATTATTGCACTTTGTTGACAAGGTTTAGGGAAAACTCTCAAGCATCTCACAAAAATGGTATGGTGGAAGATAGATCCTCTGCACTGTTAAGCCTTTCCAAATTATATCACTTAATACTACCTTTTGCTTCTACTTTTATTGATTTTCTCTGTGGTTAAAGGCCTATCTCCAGAGGTGATCTAGCACATTTTCAGAAACTGTGAAAGGGTAGCATGTGCAACCAGTTGTGCAGTGATGTTGTTTAGTACAACTTCACAGACCATGGATTTTCATGCTGGTAGCATTATGTGGATTTATGTCTATTACTAATTTTCATTGTAGTATAAATGTACGTGGAATGTATTTGTTATATGCCATCTAGTCACTGTAGCTTTCTACGATATATGATACAATAGTCACAATGTACTCATTTTAGCTTCTAGTCAAAATTCAGGCTTAATTTATTTGGATCCCATATGGGAAAAATTTATGGGGACCAGTTTTTTGAGTTCTTTATTATATGAAACTGTGTGACGTTACTTTTATTGGTAGCATAGTACTTAATAAGCACTTTCTGTAATACAGTGCCCATCTATAGAGCATACAGTATTTTAAAAGCAGTGTTTATAGTGCTAGTGTTTTTGTTTACTAATTTTACATATCTTTTTAAATAGCTTGCCAGTTTAGAATTTTGGGGATCATGTGTTACTCTTTCTCTTTTGGTGATTCAGACATTATTCTGCTGATGCAGTTGCTTCAGGCTAGAATTCTGAAGAAGGAATGGGACTTTATGTATAGTGAGATGATTTATATGAAATGTTGTCCCTACGGTTTGGGTGGTTCTGAAGTAGACTGGCAAATGCACCATTGTCAGGGGTTATAATGAACAAAGAAGTTATTGATATATTGTTGTTGACATCTAAAAACCTTCACAAGCTTTCACAAAAGTAAAAACATTTCTGTATCTGATTAATTCAAGGTGGATAAAATTTATTTATTTTTTAAAAAATAAAATTGATTTAAATAAAAAATGATTTTTAAATTTAAATAGTAAAAAATTGGAGTTTTAAAAATTCAAATCATGATTAAAATTGTTTTGATTTAAAGCAAATCCATCCTAGTATAATTCATTGTCTAGTTAAATTCTACTCCTTTGTTTACAGGTACTTCACATCCGCCAATTCATCGAAACAACCAAATTATAATTTCAGTAGTTACCTTGTTGCATTTTTATTTATATGAACGTGCATCTAGATAAGTCAAATTTTTGTGTTGAAAAGAATAAATATGAAATGTAATTTTTTCACAGATCATAGGAATTCTATTGAGTAGTCCCTTATGTATTGAATATTTTGTCATTTTACAGGCAACAGATGAAGAACTCTGTTTATCGAAGCAGGCAGTCTTTAAATAGTCCTAGCCCAGGAGAAACTGAAATGGATCTTCTAGTCACACGAGAGAGACAAAGGCGTGGAATCCGCAACAGTGGCTATGATGTAAGTGTATTGAAATCCTATTAACTGACCAAATGTCATTGGTAATAAGCTGTCTCAGAAGAATAAACAGTAAACCAGCCGTAGAACTTAGAGCTGTTGTGTTCTTAAAGGCGTTCAGAGGTAGCTTTATCAGTCTCTGATGGAGCCAGTTGTATGCATTTTTTAGGTTTTATTTTTGGTATAATCAGTTGAATTAATCCATTAGAAGGAACAGGAAAGTTGCCAGAATCAGATAAGAATAATACTAGTTTATCTGATTCTGTGATGCATTAACAGAAGTATAGTCTCCAATCCTGTGAAGTACCAGCCCCCCTCTATCCAGCACTGGTTAGGCCTCATCTAGAGTATTGTGTCCAGTTCTGGGCACCACCCTTTAAGAAGGATGCCAACAAACTGGAGCAAGTTGAGAGGAGGGCAGCAAAAGATGATCAGCGGATTGGAAAGACTAAAAGAACTGGACATGTTTAGCCTCAAGAAAAGGAGACTGAGAGGAGATGTGATGTCACTTCTCAAATACTTGAAAGGTAGTCATACAGGGGAGGGGCAGGATCTGTTCTCTGTTGATTGTTCCAGAGTTCAGGACACATAAAAATGTTCTTGAGCTACAAAAAAAACAGATTTAGGTTGAATATCAGAAAAGTACTTCTTAACTGTTAGAGCAGTACAACAATGGAACCAGTTACCTTGAAGGAGGTGATTGCTCCAACATTAGAGGAATTCCTGCATTGAGCAGGGGTTGGACTCGATGGCCTTATAGGTTCCTTCCAACTAAATTATTCTATGATTCTAATTCATGTTATTTATTTCTTTAAGACATTGCATTATGTGACAAAAATAAAACAAAAAGGTGTGATTAAGAGATTTTTATTTTTCAGTATGAGTTTTCATTGATTATAATCCACTTCTTCAGATATGTGCAGTATAGTTAGGCCACAGGTTTATATACACAAAATACATAGTAGAGTAGTGGTAACCAAGTGAGAAAAAGAAAGTGAAAATTAGAATGATAATTGGCTTTCAAATGACATGGGCATTATTAACATTAGTAACAACTAGTCACACAATGCTGATTACATAGACATCCTGTTATTAGCAATCAGTTGTTCTTTAGGAAGTGTGCTACAATTAGAGCTATGTTAAAGGAAAAGACATTTTTGTTATAGTTACTCCCAAGACTGTGAATGAATCCAGAGTATTGGTGTATCCAGTGAACTAGAACTTCTTGGTCCTTGTTTAATCCTTTTGATGCACACTGCTCTCTGTAAATATAGATCATTTTGGTCCATTCTCTCTTTCCCCCCTATCAAAATTTCCTTTGCAATACCTTTTTTCCTTTAACAGTTGCTTTGAGATCTGTAACAGAGTTTCTTGGGAGGTTGATGTGTTCTGAAACTAGCTTTTGTGTGTTGCAATTTCTGATGTGTAGTTTCTGCGCATTTATGCTCTTGTGCCCCATTACTCCTATATGCAGTGCTCCTCTCATTCTTGTCAAAGAATAGTGCAGGTGAATAAGTAAACAAGTCTCTAACTTGTGGGCAATGGTGTTGGGGTCCATAATGGTGTTGTCAGACTAGATGCGGATACATAGTTATCATCTGAGTTTGGAAGGATTTCTTGTCTCCTTTTCTGTATAATAAGTTGTATGTCAATGGCTATTTAAAAGGGGAGGGGGATGCTCTCTGTAAGTGAAGTGAGTTGGTCATCCAGAGTCTGGATGAGGAAAATACTATTGTCTAGAATTGGCTGTAGATCATTGATGGTACCTCTGGGTGGTCTTGGTTGAGAGTTGTAGGTGCCATCTCTTTCGGGTCTGCCTTGTAGTAGGTTGTTTCTGGGTACTCATCTTGTCCTGTCATTTTGTTTTTTCATCTCATTGAACAGGTATAGTAGGTTAAGAAATGCTTCCTATAAATGCATGTGTTTTGCATCTCTGCCTTACAGATGTGAGCAGATGTGGTCATAATTAGAGGGCTTGTCTGTAGATAACGGATGTTGTTGTGTGTTTTAGGTGGAAGCTGGAAGCATTTAACTGTGCATAATGATTGCTGTGTTTTTTATATAATGAGATTCTTATATTCTACTCTGTAGTAGCATGATTGTGTCAAGAAAGTGTACCTGTTATGTAGTTGGTCTAGATTCAGGTTAATAGTAAAGCAAAACTTACTGAAATTCTTGTGGAAGCTTTCAGAGGGTTCTCTTCCATGAGCAAGATTACAAAGATGTCATCAGCACATGTCAGAGAGAGGAGAGGGCTTATGGCTGAGAACCTGAAGAAATGTTGTTCATGTTGGCCAAGAATATGCTTATGTACTGTGGCTTCAGTATATATGATGCCACATATGTGTTCATGGCGATGCTGTCAATCTGGAGGTGCATGATATTGTCAAAGATGAAGTAATTGTATGTGAGTACAAAGTCACAGAGTTTAGCAGTTACCGTAGATGTGCTGCAACCTCCTTCAGAATGGTATTCTTGATTATTTCAATCTATCCTTGTGTGGCATAGTATCATTGAAAAATGATGTGAATGACTATAATTTCCTCAGGAAATGAGTTGGTTACTTAAGTAGCTAGGCATATTGATGAACTAGGATACTATCTGGAACCCTGCTTTGTGTCAGAGGACTGTGAGGGAGAAGAGGCCAGTATTATGCTGGATTTAGGCTGTTAGGTGATGTTCTGCAGTAGCCAAGAGAGCCCCTTGTTCTTCCTGAATTAAAAAAAAAGCAATATGCAAATATTTGTGATTATTATACACATTTCATTATTCATTAATTGTTCTAATATTCTAGGTGCAAAATTCTGCAAGATCAGAGAGCGAAAGTTTGAGAATATGAGAATATGGCATGGAGAATGATAATGACTTTGTCGGAAAATAAAATATAATCATAGAAGGCAATGTATAGAATCTTATTTTATTTCCAGTTACTCCCATTGCTACAGGTTTAGAGTGCCAGAAGCACCAGAACATGACGTCCGGTGAGCTGCACAGATTGCAGAGTGACTAGTCTCAGAGGGACTAAAATGTCCTTTTTTAGATGCAAACCACATCTAAAAACCGCAGAAGCCTCTGTGCTTCAGGGTTAGAAGACCTGCAGTCGTAAGATCAAATCCACGCAACAGAGTGAGCCCCCATTGCTTGTCCCAGCTCCTGCCAACCTAGCGGTTTGAAAAGATGCAAAATGGAAGTAGATAAATAGGTACCACCACGGTGGGAAGGTAATGGCATTCCGTGTCTAGTCGCGCTGGCCACGTGACCACAGATAATTGTTTTTGGACAAAGGCTAGCTCTATGGGTTGGAAACAGAGATGACCACCGCCCCCTAAAGTCAGACACAACTGGGCAAATTGTCAAGGGGAACCATTACCATTAACTTACTTAAAATCTGTTACTTGGTTACGTTTTACCATGATCACAGAGTATTTTAATTAATGCACGACATTGGCATATGATATCATGGCGTGGTGGCAAAACAAATACATTTAAGCACCAGCATTCTATTGTTTACTATTTTAAGCAGCAAAGTATTTTGTTTTGATAGTGGAAAAATCAGGCTTGTATATATGCTCCACCCTCAGCTGCTTTTTTCCTGTTAGCTTGTAGAAGGATTTGGGGACAAAAGTAGGCATGAGCACAGAGCAATGTCACAACCAAAGTGGACTGTCTTCCAGGGACTTTGAAAACAGTGACTGTGTAAATATATCAAAGGCATAATTTAAGGCAGTTATAATAAACAGTCTCCATTCCATTTCTTGAAGTCAGTCGCACAAGCCTAAAACTTAAAGATGAGGTTACATCCTTATAAAAGTAAGAGCATTTATCCACTTCCTTGGGACATGAGCAATATTTACATATGCAAGAAGTGCCTTTGGTAATCAGAACAAGACCTTTTTAAGATATATATTTTAGTTATTATAGTCATTGTGCCTATGATGTAACAAATAACCTAGCTGCCCACTGAAGTATAGTGTGCTCTTTTGCTGTGGCATTTGACAAAGTGAAGAAAACTGTGAAGCATCAAAAGATATCCTGAAGAGTACATTTGAGAAAACATTGTCCCTGTTTTGACACTGCCTGTCAAAAAGCATAAATCATAGATATGCCAAGTAACTAGCGTTGGGAGCTTCTGTGCTTCTATGTGCTTCATTGTAGCAGAAATTTAAGGGAAGAGCCTGACTGAAATCTGCTTTTATGTAGACTTTACTTTTAAAAAAAGAGTATGTATTGCCGGCGAGAACATGGCTTTTAGCAAAGTTTGTTTAACTAGGTATTTGTCAAGAGTTGGCTTTTCTGTTACCTATGTACATTTCCTTTGACTCCTTTTTTTTTCCTTTTTCCTTTTGTTTTTTTCTTAGAAGGTAGGCTGTTAAACAGGTTTGTGTGTTACTGTTTTATTTTTATTGTTTATTTTTATTTAATTTCTACCCCACTCTTCACAGTGTGATCTTTCCCTCCTCAGAGCAACCCTTGTAGATTAGACTGAAAGATAGTCACTGGTCCAAGACACCCCCCTTACTTTCCTGACTAGGCAAATATCTGAACCCGGAACAAAAATATATTGTTGCTGAATAAGGTTGAGGTGAACAAGGTTGAGCCTTGTGGCACAGTGGTTAAACTTCTGTACTGCAGCCAAAACTGTGCTCACAACTCGGGGTTCGATCCCAGGTAAGCTGGCTCAAGGTTGACTCAGCCTTCTAACCTTCTGAGGTTGGTAAAATGAGTACCCAGCTTGCTGGGGGGGGGATGTGTAGCCTGCATAATTAACTTGTAAACTGCCCAGAGAATGCTTGAAGCGCTATGGGGCAGTATATAAGCAGCATGCTTTGTTTTTTTACTTTATATGTATATAAAATGTTACCAATCTGATCTGACATGATAATGCACAGACCAGCTGTCAGTCCTCTTGCCTCTGTTACAATCCATGTGTCAAAGTAGGGCTTTTGAGCATATATTTTCTGCTGATATCTTGTGTTCCATATAATAATTTCATAGAATCATAGAATAATTGAGTTAGAAGGGGCCTATAAGGCTATTGAATCCAATCCCCTACTCCGTGCAGGAATGCAAATCTAAGCAGAACTGACAGAAAATTGTCCAATTTTCTCTTGAATGCCTCTAGCATTGGAATGTTCATCACCTTCTGAGATAACTGGTTCCATTGCCATATTGCTCTAAGAGTTATGAAATATTTTCTGGTATTTAACCTAAAATTGGCTCCCTGTAGCTCGAGCTATTATTACATGTCCCGAACTCTTGGATGATCAAAAACAGATCCTGCCCCTCCTCTATATGACTACCTCTCAAACTGCTTTGGGTCATTTTAAGGAGAAAGGTGGGGTAAAATATTTTAAATAAATAATAGATATGTGTTTGAAAAGTGCTATCATCTGAGGGGAGCCTCAACCTTCTTTTCTCAAGGCTAAACATGTCTAGTTTTTTCAGTCTTTCCTCATAGGGCTTGGTTTCCAGCCCCCTGATCATCCTTGTCGCCCTTTAATAACTTCCAAACGTTGAGCAGTGCAGAGACAAAAAAATGAAACATTTTCCCCTTCACCACCAGAACTGTATTTACAAAATATGCATGCATATATACACCTCCTCAGAATTGGCAGTGCAGAAATAGCAATCACAGTCCAGTCCAGCCCAATACTCCAAGATGCTGACTGACAAAGTGACATGCTGCTTCTCCATGAATATCCCAACAACATAGGTTTGTTAACTGCCTATCTGTATACCAGTGTATGATGCAACACTCACTCAGCAAATTGAGTACTGCACATGTGCAGGCATGTTACCTGTTCTGGCTGGATGCCAACTAGAATTACTCAGTGTTTCTTCCTTTGCTTAGTCCTTCTCCCATAATTCAGACAGACAATTCCATATTTTTCTGTCATATGTTAACACCCTCCTCTCACCTTGCTCCAGTTTCTGTCATATGTTAACACCCTCCTCTCAACTTGCTCCGGTTTGTAGGCATCTTTCTTGAAGTGTGGTGTCCTGAACTGGACACTGTATTCAAGATGAGGCCTAAGCAGTGCCGAATAGAGGGGAACTTGTACCTTGCGGGATTTAGAAATTATACTTCTCTTAATGCAGCCTAAGATAGCATTTGCCTTTTTGGGAACCACATCACACTGTTTGCTCATATTCAGCTTGTGATCTGTGACAATTCCAGGATCCTTATTGCTTATAGCATTAATGAGCCAGGTATCCTCCATCTTGTAACTGTACATTTGGTTTCCCCCCAGGTGTAGAACTTTGCACTTAACGCTATTAAATTTCATTCTGTTATTTTCAGCCCAATGCTCAGGCCTCAAGAACTTTTCGAGTTCTGTTCTAGTGTAGTAGCTATTCCACCCAATTTTGTACCATATGCAAATTTATTATTTTATTTATTTAATTAATTAATTTATACCCCGCCCATCTGGTCTTCTGACCACTCTGATATGTATTCCCTGCACTCCCTCAGATACATATTCCCTGCACTCCCTCATCCAAGTCATGTTGAAGAGCACCGGGCCCTGAACTGAGCCTTGGGATACCCCACTTGTCTCCTTTTCCTAGTTTAAGAAGGAGCCATTGATAAGCAATCTCTGAGTATGATTTTGTAACTGTGTATTCACCTTACAATTGTTCTACCCAGCCCACACTTGCTTGCTAATCAGAATATCATGGGGCACTTTGACAAAAGCTATGCTGAAGTCAAGATATACTATGTCTACAGCATTTCCTCTGGCTATCAGGGAGATTACCCAATCAAAAAATGAGATTAGTCTGGTAGGATTTGTCCTTGACCAATCTGTGTTGGCTTCTGGTTATTACTACATTGTTTTCTAGACACTTGCATAGTGACTGCTTAATAATCTGCTCCAGAATTTTCCCGGGGATTGATGTCAGGCTGACCAATCTGTAGTTGCCTTTTTGAAGACAATGTTAGCGCTCCTCCAATCACCCGGCACTTCACCCATCCTCCCATTATGGCCTCCTTAGATACTCCAATCCATTTATTTTGATATTCTAATCCATTTACTGTCAGTTTTCACATTTATCTGAACACTTATTAATGCTATATTATGTAGACTTGAGTTATTTTTTTTCCTAGATGTTTAATTATAATGTTAGATTTTGGTTGGATTTTACAACTAATTTCATATTCTTTGGTTTATTTTTTATATTATTTGGCTTGGCCGTTATTGGCTTGGTTTTGGTATGATGCTGTTGGCCACTTTGGGTTTCATTTCTAAAAGGAAAAGTAAGATACAAGCTTAAAAGGGAGAAAAATCACGCTAAGTTTCTGGGGGGGGGGAATCAGGCTGTGTGGTTTAGAAAATTGTTGGCAAAGCATCTTTTAATGCTCAGGAAAAGAAACTGATTCATCTGCCTAATTGCAGTTTTTGTAATTCAGTACTTGTGACATCTTTACATCCAGTATTTAGCCTCCTAACATATATAAAGCAGGAGATCTTACCATATGTTTGTAACATACTTAATATAATTCATTAAATATATGTATTGTCCTGTAATTGTTAAGCAATTGTTAATAACTGGCTCAAATAGGAATTATTTTCCCTATTCTATGTAAATTTCAATAGGAAAGGGATGGTCTTAATATTAAACTAACTGTTATTAGCCTAGAATTATTAGCTTACATTTTCCCTGATTATGATGCAGAAGTGTTGCAATAATTAAAGCAGCGAGTAAAAATGATGTGTCAGACAGTCTTGTTCAGAGACCTTGATTTATGGGGATTATGAAAACAAACAAGGGTCTAGACTTGTGGGCCAGGGTGAAATGCAGCTGGGCAAATGGGTTGGCCCATTGCCAGTGTAAAGATGAATACTGATGCAGGAAGTTGTGGCAAAGACCAAGACGAGACAACTGCAGTCACGAATTGATCAGATGATGGGATGATTTCCTTCTTATGACTGTAAAAGATGGGGCAGGGTTGGAGAAGTGGAAAGGCTGCCACATATTGTGAATGTTATAGGCATTTGTCTCTTAGTCACTTTGCAAGGCTATTGTGACAAGGTTCCAACACAAGGCATAAGCAGTTTTTTGTTTTCTATTTGCAGAATAAGAAAAGATGGTAAAGGGGGCCAGGATGATAATTTCATAGTTTCAGATACTATGGGTAGGCATGGAAAGCTGACAGATTTTGTAAACAAAATGTAGCCGTGGTTGAAACTCACATATAGCCACTACACAGACCTTGAAACATAAACAGATATTCTGGATAAGTATCGCATGAACAGCCTCCACAGCATTCTCCATTAAATGCTCTTACTTTCTTCCACAGACTGAACCTGAAATGATAGAAGAAACAAATATTGATAGAGTCAATGAGCCCCGAAACTATACTAGATCCCATCAAGCAAAAGGTCATTCAGAGACATCAACTCTGAGTTCGCAGCCATCTATTGATGAGGTTAGACAGCAGATGCACATGTTACTGGAAGAAGCCTTTAGTTTGGCCTCAGCAGGCCATGGAGGACAGAGCAGGCAACAAGATGCTTACAGTTCTACACAGCAGTTGCCATATTCTGAAGTTGTGACCAGTGCTCCTGGTACCATGTCTCGACCTCGGGGAGGAATTCAGTGGGTGCCGACATACAGACCAGAAGTGTACCAGTACAGTCTACCTAGACCAGTGAGTGACCACTTATATGGGATATACGCAGGACTGTTGTGGAAAATACTAGAATGTATTACTCTTGATGTTGCTATTAATGTCTGCAAGAAAAATCAATTGCCTTATGTATTAGCATACTTTGTATCTATCTGAATATAAGACTTATTTATCTTTAGTATTTTATTTTAATTTTGAGGATGGAACTCTCCCTTGACTATCATGCAGAGTATTTCATACAGTGACTCCAGGACTATGCTGGGCTGTGTGAATGTTTGAGTTTACATGTTAGTTTGGAAAAATCCCCAAAGTGGGCTTTACCAAATAAATATTTGTCTATGGCTGAAACCCTGTTGCTTTGTTATGCATGCAGAAGGCAAATGGCATAGCATGAAGTAATCTCTAGTTAAAGGTAAGAGTCACTAGTGGATTCTGGAGGCGCTTGCGTGTACTACTTAAGCACTCTTATCAGGAGAAAGGTGGCCTAGAAATTAGACCAAACAAACAAAAGCTGCGTAGTGTAGCTGTGATATTTTGCAACAGTGCAAATCAACATTCTACCAGACAATACTGAAAATGGGGGCAGCCCAAACTAATAATTTTAATGGTTGTTGTGGGTGTTTCAGGCTGTTTGGCCATGTTCTGGAGTCAACTCTAGTCTAAGTTGATAGAACACAGACAGAATTCTAGCTCCTGTCCTCTGAAGTTGCCGGCTGAAGAGACTGGTGAAATGTTAGGAAGAAAAATGTCCAGATCACAGCCAAACAGCCCGAAAAACCCACAACAACCATGGGATCCCAGCTGTGAAAACCTTTGAGAAGATATTAATAATTTTAACTTTGAAATCACTTCACACCCAAACACAAAGCAAAAAACCTGAGCGTTCAGCATTGAGGTAGGTGGTGCAGCATGGCCTCTCCCAATTTGAAGAGACACTTTTCCAGCAGGCTGAGGCAAAGAGGCAGTCCCGAAAGCAGCAAAATCAGGGAGCTGGACAGGGGACAGACTGTATTTGTCTTCAGTGTGGAAGGGATTGTCACTCTCCAATTGGCCTTCCTCAGCCACACCAGACCTCTATTCAAAGAACAATACCGTAATCTCTTGAGACTGAAGGATGCCTACATGTCAAGGCTGTTTTTCAACAAGTTCTCTAGGCATCTATTGCTTGGAAAATACAGATGATAATAAAGTACCATTATGAAATCTACATGGCACAATTGGTACAACTGACAGGTACAATTGACAGAGGATTATGTATCCAAACAATCAGTCCCACACATGACTGAACTGGCCTTGAACTAATTGAAGATATTTATGGAGGGAGTTGGCTTTGACTTCACATTTTAGGAATGGAATTTGCAGATTCAGAGGATGGAGATTTTTCTACTTCCTACCTTCTTTTTCTTTACTGAAGCATGATACCACTGAATCTGATCTTTGCTGCTGATGTTGTTTTTGAATCTAGATGTTGCCAGTGTTTCAAACACAAGGTGATGATTAATACATTCTGATATTAAGGAGGATACTGAGAGAATAATTGGCAATATTTGCTGCCGCCTTCATCTTGATGTAGAGCAGCAAATAAGCAAATACAGAAAGCTGTGAGGTGTTTAACCTGATTTAACATAATTTTAAGACCAAAAGCGATAGCTAATCAGATGCCCTAATTTAATCCATTTCACTTCAGTCCCAAAGGTACCAGTAAATCCATAGTAAACATCATTTTGCAGAAAGACCCAGACTACACATCTCAAAGAGTGATTTAAAATGAGGTTTCACAACAAGTATTCATACCTTTTCTTCATCTGTCTCTCAAAAAACTAGATAATTTGTGCTCCATCTTGAGCGTAAAAGAGCATTGGCCCTGCAGGAAAAAGGCTAAGACTTATTTTCCAATATATATGACTGGACATGCCGGCCATCAAGTTGCATGGGACAGAGGCACTCCAAATTCATGCAGATTCCTTCGGGATTAGCAATCTAATACTTTCTAGCTGCACATATGTGTACTGTACTTGAGTGCACTAACCTGAAAGACACATTTCATGTAGGAATTTTGATTACTTTGTGGCTCCAAGCAATAGATACCTTGGGAACATGTTGAAAAACAGTTCTGACAATTGCTTTGTGTTTGGGTGAGAAGTGGTTAACTGGTGAAAAAAGGAGTCAGGATCTGGGATTTTCTCTTGTGTGGTGTCACTTTGTGAATGCTAGTGAGTGCAAGAGGGTAGACTGTCCTGACTGCTGACATAGGTGTCATCAGCATTCAGACTACCTTTGCAATGGCTGTGACTACACAAACAAAGACCACAGGATTTGCTATGGTTATAGTATGGCTGAATTCGAAGGACTTTTTAAAAATCACACAATGCAAAGGCTGATTTGAATAGGTCCAGACCTTTTTGTTCCCGACACATCTCCCCCCCCCCAGGCTGAACACCAGCCCCCACATTCTTCACCCTGATCATCCTCTGAATTGTAAGAATTCTTTTACATATGTGTGAATAGCACTAAATCACCTTATCACCCTATCTCTTGTATTGATATGCTACTTTAGCATTAGATCACCTCTGGGTGAGAATTTCTTTAAAAAATTATAAGTAAAACAAAAACAACCCAGACAGAATGAAATATGTGATGTTTCTGTGCCCCTTAAGAAGAACTTTGGAATGCTGCTACCTCTTCTGGAACCCTGGACAACCCTTTCAAAACCAAGCGGCTTGACAGCAAAGCATAAAAGGATCAGCAGAGGTGGGATCAGAGGTAGGAAGGAAACAAGGGGCAGCTGTGGGCTGAAATGCAAATGGTATCACATAGAATGTGAAACACTGAACTCCTGACTCGACCCGCAGTCTCTGTGTGATCGCTGACTGCAAATTCAGCCATAATACAGGCTGTAAATTAAATCACAGGAAAGGTGAATTGGAGTGATTTGTCTGGCCAATGTAGTTGCAGCCTATATTAAATTTGGCATCATTTTTCCTACTGGTGATGGAGGCATGATGTTGTACGGAAATATTAAGCCATTTCCTGGTGTTTTGAATTGTGGATACAGAAGCACAATAGCCGACATTCATAAAATGGTGGGGAGTTATTTCAAGAATTGATAAGCAATCATATTCTTTGCTTTCCATATGTGCAACAAATAACAGGATTTCAGCCTGTGTGTTTATTATTCCTCTTAAAGGAAAAGAGGAAGTGTTGACCTAAATTTCTAAACCGCATGGATCTATGTGTAAGATACTCTGACTTATTTTGTTCTGATTTTTCTGGCTCATGAAAGGGATACAGAATGAATCACTCTGAATATAATACAAAGGGTAGACAGACAGAATCTATGTGTAGGATATTCTGATCCAAGAAGGTACATTTGGACTATGTTATGTATTTTAAAAAATCATGATCTTGTGAGTAATGCCCAGCACTGAGGTATTTAAGACAGTCATATTCTGTTCAGAACACATTATGATGAAAGGAATGATCCATACTATCATATGCCAGAAATCTTCTATGTAGTGCTCTTTGTCTCGTGGAATATAATTTATATTATCCAGGCCTTTAAAAAGGAGACAGAAGCATGACTAAACCTTACTCCTTTTGCCTCAAGAGTTACATGATAACAGACATCTAGTTCTGCCTGAACTTAATAAGTTATGCATTAAGCCATTGGATATGATAACAAACCTTGGAGGGCTGTGTGTAAAATGTGACTAAACAGAAGCAGCTGGTGATGTCTAATCCACCTACAGAAATTAATACGGGGGGGGGGGAATAATCCATTCAAGCATCCATGCTCCCTCTGTGTTGATTCCTAAAAGTCAAGCCATCCCAGTCTGTTTTCTTTACCAAAGTACATGTTGTACATGTGGGCACCTACCAACTCACAGCTCCACAATAATGTGCAGTTGGAAAAAAGATACACTATATATTAGAATTCCCTCAGTTTCCTTTTTAGCTGACATCCCCAGTGATCAACCAGTCTTTCATATAATCTCTGAAGGAAGGGGAGAATTGCAAAGTAGGCCTTTATAAATATGAAAAGACAGTAGGCATTCTTCAGTCTCAAGAGACTATGGTAATGTGCTCTGAATAGAGGTTTTGGAACAGCGTCTAGTGTGGCTTGGAAGGCCAATTCAAGAGTGACAATCCATTCCACACTGAAGACAAATACAATTTGTCCCCTGTCCAGCTCCCTGATTTTGCTGCTTTTGGGACTGCCTCTTTGCCTCAGCCTGCTGAACAAGTTGGGAGAGGCCATGCTGCACCACCTACCTCCAGGCTGAACGCTCAGATGTCAAGGTTTCCCATCTGTTGAGGTCCATTCCTAAGGCCTTCAGATCCTGCTTGCAGATATCCTTGTATCGCAGCTGTGGTCTCCCTCTAGGGCACTTTCCCTGCACTAATTCTCCATACAGGAGATATTTTGGAATCCGACTGTCAGCCATTCTCATGACATGCCCAAGCCAACGTAGATGTTGCTGTTTCAGTAAAGTATACATGCTAATAATTCCAGCTCATTCCAGGACTACACTATTTGGAACTTTATCCTGCCAGGTGATGCCAAAATGCATCAGAGACAATGCATATGGAATGTGTTCAGCTTCCTCTCACTGCAGTACAGGAGTGTACTCAGGACTCAAGCTCTATAGTCCTAAATCTTGGTATATACCATCAGCTTTTTGTTAAGCCATACTCTTTTTATGAGTCTAGAGAACATGGTAGCTGCTTTGCCCATGCGTTTATCCAACTCAACATCTAGAATGTGTGTGTCAGAGATCATTAAGCCAAGGTATATAAAATCATGAACAACCTCCAATTCTTTTGTAAAGATAGATGGTAATAGAAGGAGGTGAGTCCACACCCTAGCCCATGACTTGTGTTTTCTTCAGGCTGATTGTTAATCCAAAATCTTGGCAGGCCTTGCTAAAACGATCCATAGATTGTTGGAACTCTTCAGCAGAATGGACAACAACAGCTGCATCATCAGTGAAGAGGAAGTCCTGCATGCATTTCAGCTGGAC